AGCGGCGGGGCACAAAAGGGCCGGGTCTCCGGGCCGCGCGGATTAGCATAAATTAGCATAGATTAGCATAGAGCAGCGGCGGGCGGGAGCGGCGGCGCGCGAGCCGTTAAAATAAATAAATAAAGGAATTAATTAAATATATGGGACTTTTCCCCGGGCTCTCGGGAAGCGGGAATGCGGCGCCACCAGGCGAGGGCTCCCGGCAGCGGGAGCAGCTCCCGGTCCCATCCCGCTTCCAACGCCCATCCCGCTCCGCATCCCATTCCCCATCCTGCTCCCCATCGCATTCCCATCGCATTCCCATCCCGCTCCCTTCCCATTCCCCGTCCTGCCCCGCTGCCATCCCATTCCCCATCACATTCCCATCGCATTCCCATCCCGCTTCCATCCCGTTCCCCGTCCTGCCCCACTGTCATCCCATTCCCCATCCTGCTCCCCATCACATTCCCATCGCATTCCCATCTCGCTCCGCATCCCATTCCCTGTCCTGCCCCGCTGCCATCCCATTCCCCTCCCATTCCCCATCCTGCTCCCCATCGCATTCCCATCCCGCTCCCATCCCCATTCCATTCCCTCTGCAATCCCATCCCACTTCCAATCCTCACCCTGCTCCGCATCCCATTCCCCATCCCAGCGGACACTGGGAATCATCCCACCTGGAAGCTGCTCCGGCCGGGAATTCCCTGCTCCGACCGCTGACTTCCCGCTCCGGCCAAGCTGCAGGAGCTGCCGGGAAGCCCCCGGATCCCCATCCCGGCACATCCCGGAATCTCCCAATCCGACCCCAAGAAACACAGAGCGCCGCCCGGGGCAGTTTTTAAAAAGAGCGATTTAATTTACACAGAAGTACTAAATGTACATAATTCTTTAAAAAAATCGTTATACACAATAAATACAGTACAAAATTATTTTATAGCACTATGTTGTGTCTCGAGCTGCGGGGCCGGGATCCTCCGGATCCGCTGGCGCTTCCGGAGGGTCCGGACCCGCTCCTTGATTTTGGGGGATTTTTGTGTTTTTTCGTGTTTTTTTTTTTTGCATTTTTCCCTGGGAGAAACGCCGGGTTTGACCCCAAACCGCGGCCCCTTCCCCGGTGCCGGATGAGGCGGGAAAGGGCCGAGCGGGATAATGGGAAGAGCCGGAGCGCGTCCGGAGCATCCCGGTCCCCGCGCTCCTTCCCGGGGGGAACAGAACGGACACGAAACGAAAGCCAAACGCTTTAATATACAGTTTTTTTTTCTTTTTTATATATAGGTGGGTATATATAAAAAAAGAAGGAACCGCCGAATGGGGGGCGCCCGGGACCCCTCGTCCCTTATTGCTGCGCTCGATCCCGGCGCAAAACTGGGAAAAAGGGAACAGGGAAGCGCTGCAGCCTCCTTTTTGGGGGAAAACCAGCGGGAATGCTGCGTCGGTGGGAATGCTGCTTCCCGCTCCTGCTTTTTGGAAACTAATCGGCTTTTTCTTCTCCTTTTCCTGCCTGTGGAAGGAGCCGGTGCCAAGCGAGCCCTGTGCCCCATTCCCGGCCACATTCCCGGGAAATCCCGGGTGCTTTAAGGCCTCTTTTGGGTGAGGACGGCGGAGCCGGGAAGCAGGGGGATCCCAAACCCCTTTAGGCTTCCCGGCCTGCGGAAAAGGCCGCGATTCCCGTGCGCGATTCCCGGCTCCGGAGCGAGCGGAGGGATCAGTGCAAGGATAAGGAATACTGCTGAGGATGAGCAGCAGGAAAATCCCGGCTGCAGGTCGGCTCGTGCCCCACATTCCCGGCGCACATTCCCGCCCTATCCATGCG